ACAGGAGAGTGAGAGATCATCCCTCTTCAACAGGCTTCAGAAGAATATTACCAATCATGCAATGGATTTGGGGTATTGGGTGGATGATGCTGCATTCTGATTTCTTTGGTCATTGACAGCCTAATTATGCTAACTGTAATAATTCTCATTTAACTAGAGAATGTCTTCTTGTAATAATATTCTGCTTTGTTTTATCTCACCTCTTGCATTGCAAGCTTTTTCAGAGCAGGAATCATGTTTTACTCAGCTCGGAAGCCATTGCATCAGCTAACACAATGTGTCTACCTACTACTTTTAAAGAGTTGTTAAATTAACTGGAGCAAATTCAATTCTTGTCAAATGAGATTTTTAATAATATTTTACTGTCAAGTTTTAATTTCTAAGTGATACGCTTCTGTGTGTGTAAAATAACTCTTATTTTATGAATCTGTTTTGTTTTGAATAACCTTAATTCATTAAATAATTAAATATAAATCATTAAATAATTGTTGCCTAGCTAGAAAAATCAAACTTGAAAACAAATATAAGCAAGTCAGCATATTAAATAGTTATACAAGTTATCCTGATGTTATGTGTTAGAATCACCTAGGAAGGGGATTTTAAAAAGGTAGGGGAGGCTAAATCTCAGATGTACTTCCTGAATTGGAATCCTATCTGACACGGACATACATCCCTGATAAAGCACCACTGAGAGGAACAGAGGCAAGTATAACTAAAGAAATTCAGAGAATCAAGATACCTTACAGAGATACCACAAAAAATCAAATGAGCTACATTTTGAGAAATGGCATCATAATCTGGAAAATGCTGTAAAATATTAATGGCCATTATCATCACTATCACCGCTTTTAGTAGGAATTTTCAGGTAGCTCCCTAGGGGAAACATTTTTGAGCTTTGCTTCAGGGATACACTGTTCTGAGAGAGACCACATTTTTTAAACACCCTATGAATCTTCACTTTTTCATCGTGATTAATTTTTGTTTATTTGATACTTTTTCAAATCAACCCTTAAAAATCACCACTCTTTTTCTGATTTACAAAATTATCCTCTTTAAAGCTTACTTCAATCCTGAATCCATTCAAGTGCTTCTAACTTGGTATATTTTTCTTGTTAATTTTTTAAAAATTCATAAAAGATGTACACATTCATCTCTTAGACAATACAAATTATAGAATAATATGTGGTGATAGTGTGATTCACGTCCTCAGACATTAAATAGTATCAATCACAACTTAATCTGCAAATACGAAAATGTCTATTATATTCAAAATAATTTAATAACTGATTGTTTTGCTTCAACATGAAACTTTACCAGATTCTATTTGGCCTATGCCATAATTCTTAATTAACACTCTTAAGTTCCAAAACATGGATCAAAACCAATGGTAAATCATTACACTAACAGACAGTGGTTTCTAAATTAATTTCTAAGCACTAACAGCAATTCTGCTATTTCAAGCTGCGTTTAGATCATAAATTATTCTATGGGCTCTGTTGCCTGTACCAAATAAATGTGGAGTTACTAATCTATATGAAGATGGCAATTTGGCAAAATATTTAGAGCACAAGGAACAAAAGTATTACCTCTTGTTGGCCAGGACCCTCTTGTGGCTGAAAATAATGATGCAAACTTCACCAAATAGTCCCTGAAACAGTTGTTGAAAACCTGCTTCATCTTCAGCAGACACCTGAGAAGAAACTAGTTAACAGCTTGACAGATTCAAGACAGGAACAAGCAACTTTCCTTGGCACTATTTTAAATTGTTGCAAGGGAGGGTGAATCAGTGAAACTGGGGTCGGGGGAAAAAAAGTAATAATTGCTTGATAGAAAAGAAGAGGTATGCAATGGACAATGTTAAAAAAAAAAAAAAACAAAGTTACACTTTCCAAAATGTGCATTAAAAATAAACCATTATTAAGTATATGTACTTAGAAAAATTAATTTTGTTTTACTTCTAGCAAATGAAAGACATATATCTAGAAATCAAAATAAAGTTTAATTTTTAAATGATATTAAACCACAAAAATCTGTTCAAGAATTAGCTTAGCCCACAACTCTTAGAATACTACATGAGTTTTAATAGAGTCACACAACACAGGAAAATAATTTGTGAGTATCAGATTGATGTAAAGTAGCCTCACCTAAAATAGATATGATGACAGCAACATTACAGAACCAAGGCTGGTAACCATTTTTTCTAAAGGTCAAGATAGTAAATATGTCTGGCTTTGTGTAAGCCATATGGCCTCTATGGCAATTTCTCAACTCTGCCATTGTAGGGTGAAAGCAGCTACATACAATATGTAAAAAAAAAAAAAAAAGCATAGCTGTGTTCCAACAACATTTATTTATAAAAAACAGTCAACCAACTGGGCTTGGCCCATAAGCTGCATGTATTTTCTAACCCTTCCATAGAATACTAATTCCTGCTCAGGAAGCAAATGGCAAGTTCTTGCTTCTCCTGAGATCCACAAATCTCTCTTCTTTTCCTGGTCTCACTTTGGCCACCAAAAAATCCTCCTCAAAGATCAGATGGATGTAGATGCCTCCGAGGCCTCTATTCTTTGACAAACCTGACAAAAACAAGCAATGGGGAAAGGATTCCCTGTTTAATAAATGGTGTTGGAAAAACTGGCTAGCCATGAGCAGAAAGCAGAAACTGGACCCCTTTCTGACAGCTTACACTAAAATTAACTCCAGATAGATTAAAGACTTAAACATAAGACCTAACACCATAAAAACCCTAGAAGAAAATCTAGGCAAAACCATTCAGGACATAGGCATAGGTAAGGACTTCATGACTAAAACACCAAAAGCATTCGCAACAAAAGCCAAAACAGACAAATGGGACCTAATCAAACTCCAGAGCTTCTGCACAGCAAAAGAAACAGTCATTAGACTGAATCGGCAACCAACAGAATGGGAAAAAATTTTGCAATCTACCCATCTGACAAAGGGCTGATATACGGAATCTACAAAGAATGAAAACAGATTTACAAGATTTACAACAAACAAACAAACCCATTCAAAAGTGGGCAAGGGATATGAACAGACACTTTTCAAAAGAAGACATGCATGAGGCCAACAAACATATGAAAAAATGTTCATCACTGGTCATCAGAGAAATGCAAATCAAAATCACACTGAGATACCTTCTCAACGTCAGTTAGAAAGGCGATAACTAAAAAATCTGGAGACAACAGATGCTGGAGAGGATGTGGAGAAATAGGAACACTTTTACACTGTTGGTGGGAGTGTAAATTAGTTCAGCCATTGTGGAACACAGTATGGTGATTCCTCAAGGACCTAGAAATAGAAATTCCATTTGACCCAGCAATCCCATTACTGGATATATATCCAAAGGATTATAAATCGTTCTATTATAAGGACACATGCACACGAATGTTCACTGCAGCACTGTTTACAATAGCAAAGACTAGGAACCAACCCAAATGCCCATCAATGATAGACTGGACAGGGATAACGTGGCACATATGCACCATGGAATACCAACCAGCCATCAAAAACAATGAGTTCATGTCCTTTGTAGGGACATGGATGAATCTGGAAACCATCATTCTCATCAAACTGACACAAGAGCAGAAAATCAAACACCGCATATTCTCACTCATAGGCGGCTGTTGAACAATGAGAATACATGGACACAGGGAGCAGAACATCACACGCTGGGGTCTGCGAGGGGGAACTAGGGGACTAGGGAGGGACAGTGGGGCGTCGGGAGTTGGGGAGGAATAACATGGGGAGAAATGTCAGATATAGGTGATGGGGAGGAAGGCAGCAAACCACATTGCCATGTATGTACCTATGCAACAATCTTTGGCCGGGCGCGGTGGCTCAAGCCTGTAATCCCAGCACTTTGGGAGGCCGAGGCGGGTAGATCACAAGGTCAAGAGATCAAGACCATCCTGGTCAACATGGTGAAACCCCGTCTCTACTAAAAATACAAAAAATTAGCTGGGCATGGTGGCGCGTGCCTGTAGTCCCAGCTGCTCAGGAGGCTGAGGCAGGAGAATTGCCTGAGCCCAGGAGGCGGAGGTTGCGGTGAGCCGAGATGGCGCCATTGCACTCCAGCCTGGATAACAAGAGCGAAACTCCATCTCAAAAAAAAAAAAAAAAAATCTTGCATGTTCTTCACATGTACCCCAAAACCTAAAATGCAATAAAATATATATTTATAAAAAAAATCCTCACGCCTGTAATCCCAGCACTTTGGGAGGCCGAGGCTGGTGGATTAGGAGGTCAAGAGATTGAGACCATCCTGGCCAACACAGTGAAACCCTGTCTCTACTAAAAACACAAAAAAATTAGCCGGGCGTGGTGGCCCATCACTGTGGTCCCAGCTACTCAGGAGGCTGAGGCGGAAGAATCGCTTTAGCCCAGGAGGCAGAGGTTGCAGTGAGCCGAGATTGCACCACTGCACTCCAGCCTGATGACAGAGCAAGACTCCGTCTCAAAAAAAAAAAAAATAAAATAAAAAATCCTCTTCTATCTTGTTTTTCTTTTAGAGCCACTTCCATTCTTCTCTATTTCCAGGACATCAGTTTTAATCTTCTCAAGGGACTTTGGCTTTTAGAAACCTCATGATATGGTTTGGATGTCTGTCTTCACTTAAATCTCACATCGAATTGTAATCCATAATTTGGAGGTGGGACCTAGTGGGAGGTGACTGGATCATGGGAGTGGAGTTCTCATGAATGGGTTTCCCTTCCGCCATGATTGTAAGTTCCCTGAGGCCTCCCCTGAAGCAGATACTACCATGCTTCTTGTACAGCCTGCAGAAACTGTGAGCCAATTAAACCTCTTTTCTTTAAAAATTACCCAATCTCAGGTATTTCTTTATAGCAATGCAAGAATGAACTAATATACCTTGCTAGAAAGGAAAGTGCTAGACAGCAATTTCTGCTTTGCAGAGTCATAATGTAGCTGCTGCAGCTTTACACTCTCACCTGAACAATGGAAATTACAATGGTACCTACCTCAGGGGATGCTGTGAGAATTAAGTGTTCCCATCTGTAAATGCTTAGTAAAGCCCCTGGCATGTAGAAGGTGTTCCAATAAATTTTAGCTATTATTTTTATATTTATGATCTTCCATAAACCTTTTCTGAGGAAAGGAAACAGCTAATATTTTACCTGCATTAAAAAGAGAGAAAATAACAGGGAGAGAGAAATCTTTTTTAAAAACAAAATTCTGAAAACATTATCCTTTCACATAGTGTTACCAAATGTGGCACTAGCTAGGGTAGTAACTACAGTGTGATCTCCTTAAGATACTTGCTTTGATTCCCTTTAAACGTAAGATCAAAAGTGAACAACCTCTGAACCATTCATCAAAACACTCACATCCTGCCTATGGATTGCGAGAGGGTAATATGGACACAATATGAAGAAATCTGATAAAAGGCCAGTGACATCAGCCATCATATCTTCAGCAAGCAGGCTGAGGGTCAACACTGCTTCCAGGCTACCACCAAAACACAACTAGACCCAACAGGGCAAAAATGAGTAACTACAACTTTGCTCATCCCTCATTCTTACTAATAAAGTGTCATACACTTGGGCATTGAATCCTAATCACTGTGGTTGTGGGCAATGAGTTTTTCTTGAAACAAATGTCCATTTCAACACAAAATCAGCAGTTATATAATCCAGATTTTTTCCTAACTGTTCAATTTAGAAACAAACCGTAATTTCCTGTTCTAGAAAGTCAAGCACATGGGATTACATATGAAAATTCTAATTTTCTGCATTTTGAAGAAACATGCTTGGCCCATGGACTTTAAAAATATTCACACTCATGGTCACTTACATGCAAACTAAGTGTTGGTAGCTCTGGGCACACAGGGATAATGCATATCTCTCTTAAAATAATGCTGTCTTTTTTAAAAAAAAATTGATTTTAAGTTACTGTTAATAAAGTGGCTTTCGCATAAATAATATATTTACTTTGTATCCCAAGATGTCATTATATGTACTGTTCATTTTAAAAAATTGGGTCACAAAAACCAGAGCAAGTTGATGTTATAAAATTTATGTTCAGATTATTACCAAGGTATAATCAAACATATTTTAACACATTAAATAGCTGAAGATTGTTTATTAACGATGTTTAAATCCATAAATTAAACTTGACTGCTTACTCAACCCTTTCATTTATTAATAAAGCGTTTTGGTGGCACTTACTGGGTAGTAATGGCAAAAATGTCTGCTCTCTCCCGGCCACCATCACTCAAACCTTCAGTAGCACCTGAACTCTTCTCCTTTTACCTGAAAAGTTACTTAGTTTCTAGAACCATAAATACAATAATTGGCTCCCAATTTCTGACTCTGACATCTATAGTAGGGTCAGAGATCTTTCTCTCTTGTTCTATCTCATTATCTAAGATTTCTGCCTTGCCTGGAATTCAGCTTCATGTCTGCCTCTAAGATCTACTACTCCATCTGTTCAGGAACGTAGAGCCTTCTCTTTTTCTTTCTCTGCAGTATCCTATCTGACACAATCTGTTCCCAGCTAAGATTCAGTTGTGACTCTGCAGGGTATAGATCACATGTTAGCGTGCATGTCATGGCTATGAAAATTGCCATGGCTAAGAAAACAAGGCATGTATTCATTAGAGTTTTGTTTAAACTTATATTGACAAGAATAACTGTTTAAGTTAAATGCTTGCTTATAAACATCTACAATAATTAATAAAAGAAAATATCTTTGAATTTCTTCAAGTTTGCAAGTTAAGATATAAATTTCAGACAAACTAGCCCAAATTATAGTCAATTCTCATAATCTTGAAGACATACGATCTTTATTGAATTCATTTAAGGAAACTGTCAAAATTGTTTACCATGCCTACAATATCCATATCTTATTTATTGCCACTCCCCTCCACTAACAGCTATTACCTAGCCCACTGCTTCAAGAGAATACACTATCCATTTGTATGCCTATCAGTGATGACGCGTTTTACATCAGCACAGGCATTAACTAATCAGAGTAGAGGCTGAACATAACAATAGGACAGAAATAAAGATTGCTTTCTTCCTCAGATCATAGTCTAACTAGGTGCTCTATGGACATCCTTCTGCACTGTGATTCAGAAAGTTAGGCTCCTTCCTTTTAGCAGCTCCCACTAATCATCTGCATCTGGCCAAGAAACGAAGAAAATAAATGAACATGGAAAAGGAACACCTGCACTTAAAGATCATGGCCTGGAGATGATATACCTCACTTCCTCATACATTCCATTGGCAAAAATGAGTCACATGTCCCACCCAAATGCAAGAGGACTGAGACTATAGCCTAGCAATCTACTGAGCTGTACAAACCATTATTTCTGCCATATATAAAAAATATTAAAAGGTAAAAAGAACTGCAGGAAAAAAAAATTGACCAAGAGTAATGTACATTTGGAGTACACAGGCAAAGAGGTTGCAAATTTAAATGTCTTACTTGGAACAGGCCTCATTGAAGAGGTGACAAGTGAGGAAAGACTTGAAGAGCAATATAGGTAGAGCCATACCATATATGTTATCTGGAGGAATTGCATTTCAGGAAAAGCGAAAAGCCAGTTCAAAGGTCCTGATGTGGGAAAGCACCTGGAAGGTTCAAGGAAAAGTGAGAAGCCCAATGTGATCGGAGTAAAGTGTTGCAGAAGACATCTGAGAAGTAAAGGGGCCTAGTAGAGTCATAAAAGTCATTGTAAGGGCTTGGTTCTGAAAAACACAGAAAGCCCTTGCATTTTAAGTTGAAGAATGATCTGCTCTGGGTTACGGTTTAACAAGACCCCTCACAATGCTGTTTGAGAATATGCTGGAGAGGGACAGGTATAAAAATGAGAGACTGGTTAGGAAACTATTACAATAATCCCAATGAGGGATATCAATAGGTTAGATCCAGGGAGAAGCAGAGATTTTAAGAAGTGGCAAAACTCTGTATATATTTTGAAGGTCGAGTCAAGGTGCATTCTGATAGAGTGAATATAACCTAAGAGAATGAAAGTAGGCAAAAATGATCCTAAGATTTTTGGCCTGAGCAAGTAGAAATTTGAAGTTGTCCTTAACTGATACAGGGTATGTGAGTGAAGCACATTTGTGGGGAGGACAAGAGTAAGAATCCATTTTTGGACATGTTAATTTTGAAATATCTATTAGACATCTGAATAGATTTTTCTTTTCTTTTTGAGACAGAGTCTCACTCTGTTGCCAGGCTGGAGTGCAGTGGCACAATCTCAGCTCACTGCAACTCCGCCTCCAGGGTTCAGGTGATTCTCCTGCCTCAGCCTCCTGAGTAGCTAGAACTACAGGCGTGTGCCACCACACCCAGCTAATTTTTGTATCTTTAGCAGAGACAGGGTTTCGCCATGTTTGTCAGGATGGTTTCAATCTCTTGACCTCATGGTCCACCCACCTCAGCCTCCCAAAGTCCTGAAATTACAGGCATGAGCCACCGTGCCCAGCCTATGAACAGATTTTTCAAACAGTCAGCTGGATATATGGTCCTGAAATCGTGGGAGAGCTCTGAAACAAAGATACAAATTTGGCAGTTGTTGACACTGGATAATATTTAAGCCATGAGGCACAGGAGATCAGCAAAGTAGGAAGAATAGAGAGGAGGCTGTCTAAAGTCTGAGTTCCAGACCAAGCCAACATTAAGAGGACAGGATAATAAGTAAGACAAACTAAAAATTGGAGAGAGAAAAGACACAGAGAAATACAGAAAGAAATCCAGGAAAGTGTGGTGTCCTGGGAGCTAAGTGAAGAAAGAGATTTCAGGAAACATGAATTATCGGCTGTGTAAAATGCTGCTAATAAGTCAAGTAAGATGAGTACTGAGAATTGAATTTAGCACCTGAGGGTCTTCGTTGACCTTGATGAGAGCAACTTCGGTGGGATGCGGAGTGGCAAAAACCTGAGAAGGGTACGTATATGAGAGATACAAAGAGAGGAATTAGAGACTGCAAGTGTAGGTAACTCTTTCGTGGACTTTTGCTCTAAAAAGAAGCAGAGAAACCAGGCTGGAGTGGAAATTTTGTTAAGAGATGATAGGTTTTTTTCTTTGTTTTTATAAGATGAGGTAATACCAGGTTGTTTCCAATATGTTTTAACAGTAAGATGCTTGAGACTCAAATATAATCACAGACTTACTTTATAACTTTCTTTAGATGCTGGTGATAGTGGCACAATTTTCAGTTCTATTCTTGGTCAAAAAAATTATTATTTTCATTTCCCTTCAATGATTAACATGGAAAAATGCTTACTCAGCCCTGCTAAAAATTTATTACTCTAAAAACATATTCTATTAACTAATGCCTTCTCCCAGTTTACCTTAAAGTTAGTACAATTCTCACCTTGGGAAAATGTGAAAGGTGCATTGATCCCTCTGTCCCTGCCTGCCAAAATATGACATATAGGAGTGTCTTTCCCGTTTTAAATTTGAATCATCAAATTGTTTCTCTCCTCCCGTCCTTTTGCCTAAAAAACTGTACCTTCCAAAATTAAAAGAAATGCATGTCTTCAGAAGATGAATCTGTATCTATACACATGACATCACTCTCACCATCAGCATCTCAACAGTTGCTTTTTAGAGCAAGATACTTCTCAAAAAAAGCGTAGTGGATCCACACCTTCCACTTAAGTAGAGTTTATGTGGCAACTTTGCAATGAACTGGTGACAAGTGAAAAAAGCAGCATAGAGCCAAAGCTGTTAAGAATGGATATTAGTATGTCTAGGGGAAAAGGCCAGCGGTCAATCAACATTTAACATTTTTTCCACAGTAAACACATAAAGATTAACTTTCTGAGTCATCTGTTGGTTCTAGTAAAGCAAAGAAATTAGAGACCGAAAATATATAATGTAAAATTCTAAATACTTCTTTAAATTAACATTAAGAATCTAAAATAACTGTTTTGGTAAGAAATGGCATGTAGGTGCTATTCGGACATATTTTTGATTATTTAAGTAAGTGGTTACCAAACAAAACTAATTGAAATAGAACAGGAAGTAATTCAGTGCCTTTAAGTGAACCAACATTTCCTCAGAGTCTATAATGTGCCAGGCTCTGTGCTAGGAGTACAAACATTTTTTTAAAAAAGACATTTTCTTAACCTTTGAACAGTTCACATTTTTCATGAGAGAGACA